CACTGCGGTGGACGGGGAAGGTTGGCGATGCGTCGGTGTTCCGGGTCTGGGGTTCTCGTGCCTTTGTCCGCGATACCACTGCGGACAAGCTCTCCGCCCGCGCTGTTCCCTGTGTCTTCCTTGGCTTTGTCCCTGACGCGCCTGGTTGGCAGTTTTACCACCCCACCTCGCGCCGTGTCTTCCCCTCTCAGGACGTCACGTTCGACGAGTCGGTTCCTTTTTACCGTCTCTTCCCCTACCGCACTGCCCCTCTCCCCCCCCCCGCCGCTCTTCCTCGCTCCAGGTGCTCCCCAGGTAGACCCCCTCCCCGCTCCCGGTCCTGCTCCTTCAGGTGTGTCTCAGGTAGACCCTCCTCCCTTCCCTGCGCTGGTTGAGGTCACTGGTGACTCAGGTCCTACTGCGGGTGGTCCTGCTTGGGGTGCTGCTTCTGGGGGTGCTGAGCCTGGGGGTGCGGAGCCTGGGGGTGCTGAGCCTGGGGGTGCGGAGTCTGGGGGTGCGGAGCCTGGGGGTGCTGAGCCTGGGGGTGCGGAGTCTGGGGGTGCTGAGCCTGGGGGTACTGAGTCTGGGGGTGCTGCACCTGGGGGCGCTGAGGCGTCTGGTGAGCAGTCTCCCTGGAGCGGCCGTCTCCGTAGTCGCTCCGCTGGTTCCTCGCCGCTGCACTCTCGTTGTCGTCTCGCCCTCTCCCCACAGCAGCTGCGTGAGTGGTACGTTAGCCGTCAGGGTCGCGCTGCTGGAGCTAGGGGCTCTATTGCTGGTGGCGCTGGAGCTGGAGGTTCTGGAGCTGCTGCGAGTGCTAGCGCTGGAGGGACTGGAGCTATTGAAGGTGCTGGCGCTGGTGGCGCCGGAGCTGGAGGTTTTGTTCCTGGGGGTGCTGAGCCTGAGCGTGAGGAGTCTGGGGGTGCTGAGTCTGGGGGTGCGGCGCCTGAGGGTACTGAGACTGCTGGTGCGCGGTCTCCTTGGAGTGGCCGCCTGCGTCTGCGTGTGCCTCTCACCTCACAGCAGCTGCACGACTGGTACGGTCGCCGTCAGGGTCGCGCTGCTGGCGTTCGGGGCTCTGCCGCTTGAGGTGCGTCTGCTGACGACGCTGGCGCTGGGAGTGGTACTGGTACTTTGTCTACTGGAGGTGCTGGAGTCGCTGGTCCCGGAGGTGCTCGTACTGGAGGTACTGGAGCTGCTGGGACTGGAGGTGCTGTGTCTGGGGGTGCTGCTGCTGGAGACACCGAGGGATGGAGACCCTGGGTCTGGAGGTGCCGGTTCTGAGGGTGCTGCTGCTGGTGGAGCTGGTCCTGGAGGTGTTGGCACTGGAGGTTCGGGAGCTGCTGGAGGTCCTGGGGCTGCAAGTGCTCGTGGCACTGCACCGCCACGACTGTTCTTCACTCCGCCGTCTCCGTCGTCTCAGCCACCGCCTGACTCTGTGCTTCGCCAGGTTCTTAGCCTCCCGTCTTCTACTGGTCTTCTGTTACAGCCTGGCTCACCGCTACCTGCTCCTTCTCCTTACACTGAGCAGCCTGGAGGTCTTGCTGAGCGTCGTGAGCCTGCGTCGCGTCTTGTCTCGCCTGTTCGTTCTGGTCGTACCGGTCGTCGTGTTTCTCGTCCGCGTCAGCCGGCTGTCCCCGGCGCACCTCGTAGCCCTGCGTCCTTCCTCTGCTCCGCAGCCTGTTCCTCTGCCGTCCCCCCCTGCGTCCTCTCTGCCTGACCTTGCGGACCCTGAGTCTGACCAGTTTCGTGCTGCCCACCCTACTGTCACGCGTTTGTTAGCCACTGTTGTCACTGACCTGTCGTTTGAGTCTGCTGCTGCGTCTGCCTTGGTCGCTGAGCTTGTGGACTTTGCTGCTGCCTGTCGTCTAGACTATGCTGCTAGTCTTGTTGCTGAGTCTGCGTCTGTCTGTCCTCCGTCCGTCGGGGGTGAGTGTGCTCTTGGCACGGACGTCCTTGAGGACAGACAGGAGGACTTTGAGTGTCTTGCGGCCGCTGCGCCTCATCTCGTGGCCATGCTGCTTGCCCCTGAGGGAGACCCGGATGCTCTTGACATCCCGACCCCGCGCTCTTACGCAGAGGCGATGGCCGGTCCCTACTCCTCTCAGTGGCAGATAGCCATGGACGCAGAGATGGCATCCTGGAAGTCCACAGGCACTTACGTTGACGAGGTTCCCCCTCTTGGGGCGAACATCGTCGATGGCATGTGGATTTTCAGGGTGAAGCGGCCGCCGAGTTCTCCGCCTGTCTTCAAGGCTCGTTACGTTGCACGAGGCTTTAGTCAGCGAGAGAGAGTTGACTTCTTCCAGACCTTCTCCCCCACCCCGAAGATGACTACTCTTCGGGTGCTGCTGCACGTTGCCGCTCAGCGTGACTACGAGCTTCACTCTCTTGACTTTAGCACAGCTTTCTTACAGGGCAGCCTGCACGAGGAGATCTAGCTGCGCCGCCCACCTGGCTTCACTGGGACGTTCCCTCCTGGTACCCAGTGGAGCCTCCGGCGGCCAGTCTACGGTCTCCGCCAGGCGCCTCGTGAGTGGCACGACACACTGAGGACTACACTTGCGGCACTTGGGTTTGCTCCTTCGACAACTGGCCTGTCGCTGTTTCTGCGCACCGACACTTCGCTGCCGCCATTCTACATCCTCGTGTACGTCGACGACTTGGTCTTTGCCACTGCTGACACTGAGGCTCTCGCCCTGGTGAAGTCGGAGCTGCAGAAGAAACACACGTGCACAGACCTGGGAAAGCTGCGCAGTTACCTTGGCTTGCAGATCACCCGGGACCGAGGACGCCGCACCATCACATTGACTCAGTCACACATGGTGCAGCAGGTCCTTCAGCGCTTCGGCTTCACCTGGTCCTCGCCACAGTCCACTCCTCTGGCTACAGGTCTCTCGCTCTCAGCTCCACCTTCGGACGAGTCCGTAGAGCCGAGTGGTCCTTACCCAGAGCTAGTGGGCTGCCTCATGTACCTGATGACCTGCACTCGACCTGACCTTGCGTACCCTCTTGGCCTTCTGGCTCGCTACGTGGCTCCTGGTAGGCACCGAAAGGTACACAATTCTCGTTTTCCTCCAGGCACTTCCGCCTGGTGATCATCAGCGTTTCTGTACTGCTTTAGGCCTTGTGCCTACGTTTTCTCACTTGCTCACTGCGTGACTTTGCTTGTACTGTGATCTATATATATCCTTGCATGCTTACATTTGCTAGGTTGTGATCACTGTACTGTTTGCTTTGTTTTATATAACTCTGCATGTGAACTGGCCTTGTGGCCATTTGCTTGTGCTCGGAATGTGTGGTGACTTCGTGATCCACCCTGAGCTTGCTTTGCTTTTCTTGACTGGTCTTGTGACCACTGGTTCTCCCCCACTTTGCCTATGGGGGTGTGTCAAACTACAATAGTGCTTGTTGTGTGTAGGCTATAGTGGGGTAGCCCATAAGGGGTACAACCCAGATTAAGGTTAGTACTTGTATTCACATTCCTCTCCAATGCATCACCCATTCCTGCTAGTTTCTAACTGTTATTTTTTTACCCCTTAGTGAAATTAACGCTTCACCTGTTCCATTGCACAAGTAGCAATTTGTAACCATAAAAGGGCCCCCTGCTTCCAGCCCCTCTCGTAAAATTAGTTTTTGCCCAAAAGAGTGTACATTCTTGGTGTACTGGAGCCACTCCCCTCCTATTCTCTCGCAAGCATGCGCAGCGATGACCAACTTTAGCCGCTTGATAAAGCAGACATCCTTTGGATTGCGGGAGAACTGAACAAAGAAATAGGCCGAAAAAGAATGAAAAATCTATCTACTATCATTGTTAAAAGTACGTGCTGATAACACACTTTTAGCATGACCATGCGCATTGCTCTGTGCACCCTACGGATTGCTTGAGGACTACTTGAAGAATGCTAGTGCGCATAGTTTGGGGTTTGATCCATTAAAAGGACATTGCAAATCATCTATACTGGCCATTTCGTTATGTTCACAAAGCAACTATCAGTAAAATACACTGAGTTTAGAAAGCAGTTTACAACAACATTTAAAAAAATTGTGCTTAAACCAGATGTGACTTTAAGCAAAATCAGACGTTATTAATCGAAAGTGTAGAGTACTACACCTAAAATCAGTTTAGAGCATGCAACTTCTTAAAAAATCACATATTACAGAATACTTTGTTCCTAAAATATTTTTTTGTGGCGATCCACTATAGTACACTAAAATTTTGGATACACATGCGTACATATCAGCATTAACATACATTTTATGATATTAGAGTTCAAAGCATGATTTTGACGTGTGCTTCAGTTGAACATTTTAGCCTAACCAACTACCCGTGAAAGCCAATCATGTACTCCCAAGTTAGCAAGACCACAAGCTGCGCATTGCTCACACACATCCAAAACACAAACAAAGCACTGGGTTGAGGGTGAAAAGCAACCTTTCAGCAACCAGGAAAAAAGAAAGTACGAAGCACTTCAACAATACCCATACATACGCCTGTCAGCACTCAACTCCCGAAGTCTTAACTCGGAGTAATGACTCGTAGGTTGAGCGCTTGTACAATGTATGAGCGCCATGACTCTGCATATATGATAAACGGACAACACAACCCACTTGATAGTCAAGGACTCTGCACATTAGTCACACGAATTTCTTAAAAACATAAGAGAAAGAGGCGGGGCGTAGAGATAGTAAAAAGCTCGGAGTGACCTTAGCTTAAGCAGAAGCACAAGGCAGCGATGGCGCGGGAGCGTGAGTGCGTGTTGTGCGCCACAGTTGCCACGCCCCTCGCTCGCCGACGTTGTGACGCGCCCTCGTTGTCGCGGCCGTCGCTCGCTGTCGTGGTTGCGCCCGTCACTGATGAACGCCGTCCCGTTCGAAGTCACACACGGTGCCACTCATACAGAGTGCGACCTTTTGATCACAAAGTAATCTGTTGGAGAAAGGGGGCGGATTGGTAGAAAAAAAAGGAACGGGCGGGGCGGAGTTGGTAAGCAAGCGCACTGTTTTTACTACTGCTTCTGTTGTTAGTGCTGTTTTACTACTAAATATGCTGACGCTGTTACTGCATCTAATTGTTCATCTGATTGTAGTCCTGATCCTCCTGCTCCTGTTACTGTTGCTGATGATTTTGCTCGTTGTTGTTGTTGTTGTTGCTGTTGTTGCTGTTGTTGCTGTTGTTGCTGTTGTTGCTGTTGTTGCTGTTGTTGCTGTTGTTGCTGTTGTTGCTGTTGTTGCTGTTGTTGCTGTTGTTGCTGTTGTTGCTGTTGTTGCTGTTGTTGCTGTTGTTGCTGTTGTTGCTGTTGTTGCTGTTGTTGCTGTTGTTGCTGTTGTTGCTGTTGTTGCTGTTGTTGCTGTTGTTGCTGTTGTTGCTGTTGTTGCTGTTGTTGCTGTTGTTGCTGTTGTTGCTGTTGTTGCTGTTGTTGCTGTTGTTGCTGTTGTTGCTGTTGTTGTTGTTGTTGTTGTTGTTGTTGTTGTCGTTTTGCTTCTGCTGCTAGTTCCTGGTGCTATTGGTGCTGCTGGTGCTACATCTGCTTGTGCTCCTGCTGCTATTGCTGCTGGTTCTGCTGCTGCTAGTGCTACTGGTTGTTGACCTTGTCCTGTTGATGATGTTGATGTTGTATCTCCTACTCGTCCTAGTTGTTGTCCATTTTCCTCTACCTGTGGTCCTGATCTTCTCCTTCTGGATTTGCTTATTTTGTTCTTTCTCCTTGTCTATTTTCTCTTTTTTTTTCCTCCTGTATTTAAAACAATTGTAGAATGGGCGAGGGAGACAGTTACAAAGCGGCTCGCTGTGAGATTAGTTTGAGCAGGCATCACACATTTGCGGTGTTGCACTGGCAATCGACGAGGCAATAATTGGGCGATAATGTTGGTTGGAAAATTGGGAGGAACAATCTGGGAATCGTGTTGGCGATTGCCACGAATGTCTGTGCTCTCGCAACCAATCAGAGCGCAACGTCGATATATTGGGCAGGGTCTGCCTGCTTACTGCTTGTGTCGTGGGGCAAGTTTCGCATCTGCGTGTCATCCTTGTTGACCGTTAGTGCTGAAAGTCTCCGCGTATGCTTACATTCGTTACTATTGGAAGTCGGAGAAAAGTACATTCTGCATGCTGCAATTTAGGATTGTAAAAAATTGCTTTGTTGTAGTTCTAAACCATCGGTTGCCAATACGTTTTGTACCTTTTGGTGTTATTGCTAATATTTTACATTAATATAGGTTTTATTACATTTTTGTGCAATCTACTTTTGATGCAATTATAGAAGTATTTTTTCAAACATAATCAGCGTTTGATTAAGTGAAAGTATCTACGTATGATGGCCTTTAAAACGGCCAACCTACCCTACACTCTGGTAACGAATCCACTGTTTGTGGTGGTTAAATAGCAATCGCTCAATCCTTGACGCGAGTGTTCTTGTTTTTGTTTTTGTTTGTTTTTTTTTTTTTCTGTGTTTTTTTGTTTTTTTTTTTTTCGTCAGGGTGCCGCGATTAAATTTCGCGCGTTGCGATCGTGTTACAGAATGGTCGTTTTGTGTTGCAAGGACGGTAACACGAAATCTTCAAATACTGGGCGGGATTGGTGGATTCACGCAGTCCCCAGGGTCCCTCTTCTGCTGAACTTGCTTCTCCTACAAAGGTCTCAAATAAAACGGTGTTTTTCCCTAAACCGTACCCAAACGCGAAGATATGTATACTAGCCGCTCTCATATGCACATCATCTCATTCCACCGCATACAAAATTACTCATGACTCTCCCTTACCTCTAGAACTTCCTGTTGCTAGGGTTTCGAGACCCAATTTTACTAAGGAATTGAGCATGCCTTGGAATAGAATTAGAATCAAATGCCTTCAAAATCTAGACGTTACACATTTTCCAGCAGCTCATTTGCATGTTTGAAAAACACAGGTGTTGAAATCTGCGGTTATATTGCCATTTCGAATTTTAGTTTCTTACAGGAACAGATTTCTGGAATGAGAGTACATTTTTAGCCTGTACTTTGAAATTCAACCAGAGATATTTTGTTTCTAATCTGGCTCCTATGACAGTCAACCTACGGTTTACTCTTGATTGCCGTGGCAATCATGGTGGTATCATGCATCTGTTCACGACAGTTTGCTACTCGTGCAGACTTGGGAAAGCATAAAAAGTTCTGCAAGTCCACTGGATCAACAAGGCGAGATGAGCACGTAGCATTCATGGGACGGGTGCAGCGTGCACGAGAGGACAAAGAGCTGGACAGAGAGCGACAGAGGCAGCGCGTTTCACGGGAATGGCCTGAGGTTAGTCCACCCACTCAATCCGTACCAACCTTCCACTTTTCTGCTGATGGAGGTCAGTTTGAGAGAGAACCTAGTCCACGCTTTGTTGGACTAGGAGTGGAGGACGATCCACCTTGTGTTGAACCCGAATGGGATGTGAAAATTGCTCTTTTGACTGTGTTGTTATCATGTAATGGTGGGATGGGGTTATCAGCTTTTGATGTCAACCGCATTCTCTGCATTTTGCATCATCCCAAGTATAAGAAACCAGTGTACCACAACCGAACAAGCATGGAGAAGTTTGAGAAGCAACAATTGGCAGAGGTGAGTGGGCTTGCCACTTGGGAAAGCATTGATGTGAGTGAGAACAACGATGGTTCCGCAAAATTATACAAAACATCTCTTGCAGATGCTCTTCAGAGTTTGTACGCTGAACCAAAAGTGGCTGAAGGTTTTGTTGTGTGGGCTGAGGCTCTTAAAACGCGCGACGGGAAACGATTTTTTGCTGGCCCTGAAACTGGGGACATGTGGATCAATGCCCAATTGGAAATTCCGTGTGGCAGCGTTATTGCACAAGTGATTATCTACAGTGATGCGACAAATCTGAGCTCGGATGGGCGTGTTGTAGGCCATCCTCTTTATGTCACACTGGCAAACATCCAAGTGAAAGGAAGATGGCAGCCGTATGGGCACAGGATGGTGGCCTTGTTGCCTCCCTTGACGGGCATTGATGCAAAAACGGAGGCGGGCAAGGCTATCAGGCGAAACATCTTCCAGAGAGCTATGTGCCACGTGCTGCGCGACCTCAAGCAACTTTCAGCTAGGTTAGTACAGCTTTTATGTTTCTCCATCAACTCAATATTGAATGCATGCGGGAAGTTAACAGACACTACTCTCACATTACTCATTTTCTGCTTCCTAACCATGTTCCCCTCCCCTGCCTCCCTTCCCCCCCCTGCTCTCCCTTGCCCTCCCTCCAGACCTCACACTGATTGACTTCTGCATGTCGCTCCCCAAGGCAGCGGACGACCAGGTGCGGCAGTACCTCTTCCAGTACCTCGGCTCTGCTCCCCCCGCCTCCTCCTTCACCTCCTCCTTTCTCTCGCGCCGTGCCGCACTCTCTCCTGCTGCTGTGCGTTGAGCGCATGGTGTACGCGATGTTGTACGCGTACGTTGCGGATCACCCGGAGGCATGCAAGGTGGCTGGGACTTTTGCAAGCCATAAGGCAAAGTTTCCTTGCCATAGATGTCTTGTGGAAATGGACAACATTAGCAACATGGACCTGCCTTTGGTGTATCATACTGAAAGCGCGCAAATGGAGAAAGTCAAGGAGCTTATGCCGATCAAAGTTAACAACCAGCGCCTTGAAGCCTCGCGAAAAGTTAGCACGCATCAAGTAGAAGTGAGTAAAAGCCGCCTTCAAATTCATCTCCAGCCCCCTCCCCTCCACTTCCCCCTCACCCCCCTTTAACATGAGGTGTTTTCCATTCTCCCACCCACCTTCACCGTCCTACATCCCTCTGTATTTGCCACCGCTGCCCTCCCCATCACATGTTCTCCCTCTGTATTTGCCAACGCTGCCCTCCCCCTCACATGTTCTCTCTCTGAATTTGCCACCGATGCCCTCCCCCTCACATGTTCTCTCTCTGAATTTGCCACCGATGCCCTCCCCCTCACATGTTCTCTCAGTTTTGCATTTCTCTATGCACCCTCCGCAAACCAGGGTATTTCCCTCCCCTCCACTCCCTTCCGTGCTCTCCCTTCGTATCCTCATATTCTGCTCCCTTATCGCATGTATCCCCCTACTTGAATCTGCCTCTTCCCCTTTCGCCATTCCCACCATGTCCTTCATCCCAAAATTGATCGTTCCTCGTCACTACCTAATCCCCTCCCCCCACCCCTTCCCCCCCCCCCCCCCCAACCCCGTATCGTTCTTCGTCGTTACATTCTCCTCACCTCCCCCTCGTCCAGGCCGCCATTTGGGGATTTGTGCTCGGGCTCACAGACGTTGGTAATCCATATCGTGCAATTCTTGTTGAAGTCATGCATGCATGGGAATTGGGTGTTTTCTTGCACATTGTCTCCTGCATTCGCAACATGTTCAAGGGGAACCGTAAAGTGCTGATTGAGCTTGATGATGCACTTCAGTCTGTGCATGGTGACACGCGCATTTCTGGCTTTCGTATGCCTGGGACGGAGAAGGGGGGGTATTTTTCAGGGGGCTCAAACTTTCAGGCGTCATGCAAGTGATATGCATTGTTCTCAGCATGGTTGCGCTAGTGCCCCAAGAAGTCATTGATGCGGTAGCGGCGTTTGTCGACTGCTACATGCTGGGGTGTTGGCGTTGGTACCATACGGAAGGCACTCTTGACGAATTGCGACTCGACATCAAGAGGTTAGTGTCGTACGGCAGCCCACGGTGCCTCGCACCCATCCCTCTCGTCCCCTCACAACCTTGTTCCCTCTGCAGCTTGGGGCAGCCCACGGTGCCTCGCATCCCATCCCTCTCGTCCCCCCACAACCTTGTTCCCTCTGCAGCTTGGGGCAGCCCACGGTGCCTCGCATCCCATCCCTCTCGTCCCCCCACAACCTTGTTCCCTCTGCAGCTTGGGGCAGCCCACGGTGCCTCGCATCCCATCCCTCTCGTCCCCGCACAACCTTGTTCCCTCTGCTGCTTGGGGCAGCCCACGGTGCCTCGCATCCCATCCCTCTCGTCCCCCCACAACCTTGTTCCCTCTGCTGCTTGGGGCAGCCCACGGTGCCTCGCATCCCATCCCTCTCGTCCCCCCACAACCTTGTTCCCTCTGCAGCTTGGGGCAGCCCACGGTGCCTCGCATCCCATCCCTCTCGTCCCCCCACAACCTTGTTCCCTCTGCAGCTTGGGGCAGCCCACGGTGCCTCGCATCCCATCCCTCTCGTCCCCCCACAACCTTGTTCCCTCTGCTGCTTGGGGCAACGGATTAACTCCGACTCTTTTTCCATTTGTCCTTCCCACGATCTGTCGCTACGTACCCTGCATGATCACAGGCTGATTTCCCAGCTGAAAACGGTCTTCGGTGCTCAACAAGCCAACGAATTCAACTTGACCAAAGTGCATGACATGGCTCACCTAGTGGACGACATCATGCGGTCGGGGGTACCTGTCCATTACAATGCTAACATGTTCGAGTGTCTCCACCAACCACTGGTGAAACGTGCCTACAGAGCCACCAACAAGCGGAACGCGGAGCCACAAATTGTGCGACATGATGTTAGGGCGCACATGCTTCACACTCTGCAGGCTGCCGATTCCAACTCTGATGATGGTCCGCATCGAATGGTGGCTTTACAAGACGTGTGTAAAGAGGGCAGCAAGGTTTTGCTTGAGAGATCCCTCTACTTTTGCTGCCCTGAATCTATCATTTGCTTTGATTCATTACTGTATGAGGCCTTATCATCTTTTCTAGCACCCATTGATTGCGTATGGTCTCACCCCTGTTTCCATGGCAGGCCATAAAGAAGGGTGTCAACACCTTTGCTGCTGGCTCCATTAGGGTGAATTGGCAGCAGAATCTGTGTGAGACTTCGGATGCTTGGAAAGAGCATGTTGCCCTTGCCCCTGGAGACATGACTAAGCTGAAAACTTTGCTTGGAAGTTTGGACGGCGAGGGTACAAAGATTAGTTCGACGATACGTGTGAAAAAAGGTATGGAGATATCGGGGGACGAGGACTTTACTAGATATTCCAGTCAGGCCCATTATGTGCGTGCGACGCCATCGTTCATGGACAAGCCCTGGTTCAGTGATGTAGCTGTGCTTGGGGAAGAATCAGATAAGCAGGTCATGTGGTATGCTAGGCTTCTCTGCCTGTTTGTTGCTGAAGTTTTCACAGCAGATCGCGATGAGGTCGAGCAGCGTGAGTATGCTTTCGTGCGATTCTAGAAGGTCACATAGGAGACGCATCGATCGCACTGCCCCGTGCTTACCTGGGATGAGCAGGGAACTGAATACCAATTGATTGAAGCAGAGGCTGTTCTTCGTGTAGCTCATGTCGTGCCTCTTGGTGCTTACCGATTTGTTCTCAACAAATTCAAGTTCTATTGAACTAGTGTGAACTCAAGTTCTTAGTTTGCATGTGTACTCAGCAAAGCTTTACCAGATTTTGCTACATTGCCTCTCGTGAGAACACCAGGTCTGCTTCTAGTGACAACTTGTTGACTACCCTTGCTAAGAAATGAGGAGTTTATGTGGTAGTTATTATTATTGTATCAAATTTTTACGAAGTGGTTATGCTTGACAGAAAAGACTTTACCTGGTGATCACGTTTTCAAAAACAGTAACAGCTCCCTAAACCGAGCTCCATCTTTCAGTCACATCTCCGATTCAGTACAGCCGCGTTTCACGGCCAATAGTTGGCCTCGCGATTTGACTTTGGGAATCGCGACACAGTTTCAACAGCACTTAGAGTTGCTGGCAGGGAATTTCACGTTGCCAAGTGATACCGTGGCTCTCCTTTCCCCCGCCATCTGGCACACACGCGTCTCGGTGAAGGTAATAAATCAGCTGAATTATTAGCATC